AAGGGTGACCTTGTTATGATACAAACCTTGCTGCTTTTCAGATGTAAATTACTTAGTTATCATGCTAACTAGATACTGGTCTCTATCACAACATGGTCAACTTCAAAGGCTTGGCAACTAAGCACACAACTATAAAATGGCCTTTTACAAACAAACAAGCTCAAAAGCAAACAGAAAACAAATCATTGACTCAATTTTTGATATACTTCAACTTTTTACCGGTCATAGACAAAACAACATTGGCACGGCTCGTCTCAAACGCGGGTACCTTAGGGAAGGCCCTGGGAACAAGGTTCACACACTACTCATACTTGTTTTATTTGTCTCTCACCTAACAACAAACTTGTAACAGTTCCTATTAGCATAGTAACAAACCAACCAATGGCACAGTACCACAAGTACGATGTGCTGTACAACCCAGCCATCGGGTTACTGAAAAAAGAAAATAATAAGAACGAAAAAATGTCGTGAATGCCTCCAGCAGCGATAAAGTCACAGTTCACAAGTTTTTAAACTGAACCGATTTAATCCCTCACGTCTGTACAAAACTCATAGTGCAAAGAATAGGCTTGATTACACTCATACGCACAAATCTGTCAATAAATAATCTTGCCTGTGTTCGACCCCGGTCTCCGACAAAACGAAAAATAATGGGGAGATTCCCTCACGAACACAGGAAAAGCAAGTTTTCAATGTTTTCCTCCAAGATGGAGAGTCTAAAAAGGGAGACTGACTTGCTTTTTTATTATATCCCAATGAATCGACAAGGAGTAATATTGCTTACTCTGAATAAGAAGCTAACTCGGTCTTAGAGTACCCTACCAGATCCCCATCCCCTCAGCCTTTCTCTTCTTCCCCCCCCCCTCCCCCCCCTCTATCCACTATTTTCTCCAGTTTATTTTGCTTGTATTTAGTTATTGTCCTGCTGGAGAGGAGAATGGGGGTGTTCGGTGTATTATCCAACCCAGAAAGTCCCCCACCCCCAGGAAACAACTGGTAACTGACTGGAATCGGGTTCAGACGAGAGAATATATTATTGTGTCAGTTTAGTTTCGAGGATTTTTACTTACTCGTACTGGTATGTGATCTTCGTGTTATTGATCATCGCTGCTTGAGACTTGTTGAATACTTCAGGGGAGCATTCCGAGATTGAGACTGGGCCGAAGTTTTCATTTGGTGGGTAAAGCTGGGCTCCAGTAAAAAGCCAGATTGTCATGGCCAGACCGCTGACCACTCCAAGGTATGCGCCCTAAGTTAAGAATTAAGAAAGGTTTTGAGACGAAAAGACGCGCAGCCTATAGAAGGTACACAGTGGCCTCCAGAGTCTACTGACACGATCATCAGTTCTCTTTAGGCGGGGTGATACTATCCAGGTAAAACAAAGTTTATTGTGAAAACATCGAATTGTAAAAAAGAAATCGAAGGAGATTGGTCGTAATTGTTAAGGTTGATTTACTTCCGGCAAATGACATATCCCTTCGATATAAGAAAACTTTGAAATATTAGTTTGCCTCGAGTACAAATGTAGCTTAAATCGGATTTCATATTTTGAACTGGACGAACGAAACACGAACAAGCATAAGCTTGAGATTGATTGCTACCTTTGCATTTGCTCGTGACACCAAAAGACCGAGAGTGAAGATGCCGAGTAAAGGGCCACCGGTGATGTAAAGCAAACCAGAGAACACCTATAATAAAGAAAAGAAAGAAAAAACACACTATCAAGGTCGGAACATTGTAAAATCTTCGTTGCGAGTGACGAAAGAAACTCAAAATTCCTTAACGAGGTCTTGAACACGTCCTTAGTGGTAAAAAAATATATTAACATGGTAAATATTTCAAGCATTCTTGGAATGGAAGTAGATGTTAACGAGCTTGTCACGAAAATGAGACAAAGCAAACTTCTGAGTTCTTGCAAAAGCATTGAACACACGCTCCTCCGTTTGGATCACCCGTCGATTGTTGTCTCATTCGCCAACAGACTAGTTGGGCCGTGATAGCCCAAACATTAGGTTCATAAGAGACGAGTATCCCATTTAACGTTGGCATCACGACGGCGACTGGAATAACAACGTGGCGCAACAAGAAATTTAAAGCTAGTTTCACTTACAACGGAGTCGGAGTTGGATTTGGAGTCGTAATTATAAGCGCAGGGTGATAAGTTCTAATGAAAGGATAAAAACATCGAGAAACTGGCAAAATTCTGAAGAGAAATTAAAGTTCATTTTCAGGCGACGTCTACCTAAGCATCGCCGTCGCGGAATTGTGCCCAAACCCCTTCGGATTTCGCGGTCCCATGCTCCACCCTTGAGCTACGTGGAACTGGTTGGTAAGTTAGACCATTGCAAGAGTTGTAATACTAAGAAGAATGTTTACAAACCTGTAAGACCACGTCGCCTGCATGGTGAAGAACAAAGGCTCCTCCCATCACTGTCCCGCCCAGAATCGCAGCTGAGAAACAAAGCCAAATAAATCAAACTCAAATTAGCATGCATGGCCTTACATCTGGAAAAAGTTTTAAAATGGAAAGTTAGTTTACTTACTGACAAGTCTGCAACTTTTCACCGAATCGAAGTCGTCAATCTTTCTTGACCATTTCTTTAAAAAATCCTCCAAAATGACCAGGCTTAAAGAGTTCAGTCCTGATGACACGAAGCTGAAAGAGAAAATGTCTAGTCATTCAAACACAGAGAAAAGACCGGGATATCATCTGGCGCACGCCTAATATAGTCACTGCAGTCAGTAAGAAGAAATACATCAGTATCGCAATGAGTCAGTGAAATATTGAAGCAAAGACAAGTGCAAAAGGCTGGCAGAAACGCGGTAAAAAATTAAACATTTACCGCCATCTCTTAATTAATTCACCGATGTTTAGTTTTGCTTCTGATCGGCTGACCGAGTGTGGCGCGAGTTTTCTATACCGACCACTGAACGTTGCCTCCAAACTAGAGAAATCTCTCTACATATCATGTTTTTCTACCCCGCAATGGTAATTGTTCAAACATCTACTTGCGCCGCTGGTATAGGTTTTGCATCCGATTGGTTTACGCGAAGTTTTCAGACCAATCACAGTTCGAAGTAAAGCAAATCCAAATAACGTGTAATGCAAAATTACTCCAATAATTATTTGCACCGACCGATAAAGCCACTAGAGGTAGGCTACAAAGAGACATGCATCACGATGGCGCTAAATAAAATCGCGGAATTTCTACCTCAAAGATCCAGCGAATACGCAGGAAGTGAGGAATCCTGGAAGTCCTTTTAGGTGTTGTAGGTGATGTTTGATGTAATAGAACAGCACCTGAAAAGTAGGAAAAGAATTTATGAGGGTTTCTGTGTTGGTCGAGCTTCAAGCAGAGGGACTGAGTGCGAATGATCTCTATTGAGCTCTCCAAGACGCCTCTCGATTTGGAGTCCTGGACGTTAATTATTAGGCCGCAAATTCTCTTTATCACCAAATGCCCTTAGTGTTTTTGTCTAATTTGAAACAAACTTAACATATCTGGGCTAATATTTGAGATTTGTAATTCATCTCCTTGTTAACACCTCTGCAAGTGTCTATAAAGTATTTTTCAGTACCTGATCATTGCGTTGAATTGCTCCTGTCATCAAAGGATCACAGTTAGCAAACACAGTATACATGATGAGACCGGTTATACACGCTAAGCCTGTTATGATTATAAGCACTGGCACACTGATCCAAACGGCCCTGCAAAATCAAATCGATTTGTATCTGTTAAAAGTAATATAGCGTCTGAAGTTCTTATTTGAGGATGTTGCTGAGGCAGTCAAGTATATTAATTACATGAATAACTGAATCAAAGCCGCTACTGTAAGTTCATATTATCCTAGGGCTCTTTTGTACTGAATGTGGATAGTAATAAGAGTATCTTTTGTACTGAATGTGGTAACAAGAAAACGTCAATAGTTGATCTACCACATAAATCAAAAAGTACACTTAGATAATTACCCTGAAGCGCGGGAATTCACGATTGCTCAGGCAACTTTACAATGAAGTTGTTTCTAATTGAGTTTCGAAAACCAAAACCACAGTAATCACAGCGACAATCGGAACAAAGGTTTACATTAGCCAATGAGAACTCAAAGTGGAAACAAGCTAACTGATTGCATGAAGCGCGGTAAAACGCGAATGACCAAATCACGGTTGTTTTTACATATGCATCCAATTAGTTGAGAGGATGGCGCGAGTTTTCTGAACCAATCGCAGAACAAAGTTAGGTAAAACCAAAGCAATCCGGGACTTCTGCCGACACTCCAATGACTCTATTTCTCTAAGAGGGTTTTAAGGTAAACGAAGAATCTTACAACGATACGACGCGTAGTAACGAGCGAATGTAGTTCAGCGTTAACAGGTGGAAGCAAAGGAAAGCTAAGTCGCGTCAGTTTGAAATTTCCATATCTTCATATAATTGGTTGAGTTGGAACGAAAATTTCCAAGTAATAGATGCATCGCCCAGAGGGATGGGAAAAGACTGGAACTGTTAAATTCTCAGAGCTTACCTCCTAGCCAGGCCGACACACTTGTTGGAGATATACCGCTGAACTGCTGTCTGATTGACCGTCCACACAGGTATGACAGTGATGGCTCCGCCAATGGAAAGAGTCCAGAAAGTATCACGAACTGTGGGGTTTGGGTTGAAACTGCCAGAGGAAAGACGCAAATATAAATAAGAAGCATTTAGAAATTCATAAATCTCAGAGATCTCCGAATCTTATGCTTCTTACTCAAATAACAGCATTCGCTTTCGATCTTTGTTGACTTCAATCACATGATCAAAGCCTCCTGCGGTGTTCGTACCCACAATGCACAGCGTGACCAGTCCAGTCACCATAAGAATCACATGAATCGCGTTTGTCCACGCCACCGCCTTCAAGCCTCCCTGTAAAAAAAAGCAAAACAAAACAAACCAAAACAAAACAGTTACCATGAATAAACAAATGCAACATCAGTTTACATGTTACTCAATACCAAGAGAGAAGAAAATTGATTTCTGATTTTAAAATTGAAAGAATCTTATTTTTCGCGATCGGTAACTACTTTCAGAAGGAGTAATTTTTTAGAAGTAATGTAATTTTTAGCTTTATAGTACCATTTTTTCCAGTGATCTTGTACGATTTTTCTCCAGTGCTCTCTTAACAGTTCAAAATATTTACATTATAATTTCACAATATTTTATTTAACCTTAGATCAATATGATAATTTAGCGAGGTACGGGACTCTAATGAGGTGAGTGTAATCCAAGGAGGAGCGAGGAAAGATCCGTCTACATTGGTGAACATCAACGTGTAATTCAAATAACGAAACTAGAAAAATTTTAATCGAAACAGGCAGCGGCTTTCGATATTCAAAAGCCGTGATCTACTTCCTTTTTGTGCTAAGAACGATAAACACCTTCCTAACAGCCAGATATTTCAGTTCAGGGGCTTGCCTGGATATGACAAATTTCGCATTTTCAGTCTTTCGTTTCCTCAATATTTTTCGCGACCTTCAAGGTAAATATTTTCATATGTATTCTTTTTGTGACTGAGTGAAAAAAAGGTTGTGGGCGGAAGTCTTTGTTATTTGTTGACTCACGAAATCGGCGGCGTATTGCCAGGTCAATCAAGATTACTGGCAATGATTGTCTATGGATTTAGCTGATATGCTAAAGAGCTGTACTTTGGACAGTGTTTAGTGGACGTGCTTGTGCACATTAAAACAATTAACCGGAGTTTGACCTCCGAGTCAACTTGTGTCATTCAAACTGAGAACGGGAAACCTCAATCGACTTAATTAAACACTTCTTCAAATTGGCAACTAAAAATAATTTCACTAGAAATGAAAACCTTACGTGATTTGGTACACGCACAGGAAAGATAAACGAACAAATGAAATATCGTCTATTGTCTGATTTAATTTAGTTATCTTTCTTATCTACGCAACAGTCTTTTTTTTTCTTTTTTTAATACAGGTTCGAATACGAAAAAAATGACAGATTATATGATAGGAAAAAAAAAACAAAACAATTTCGCTCTGATATTTCTTCAATATAATGAGTTCATTGACTGAAATTTCACTACTTACTATCTGGACCATGTTATTATTTTTGTAATGTTCGTCAATTTAACCTTTATCCCCTAACATCAGTATGCATTTTCTCCTTACTGTCCTCTTTGTATTCCTTGATGTGCTGACAAGGAGAATTTGTTCAACTATCAAGAGCTTCTTTATTTAGCAATTATTTCCTCCGTTCTCGTGACCTTATTGTGTGATTCAGGAGTGACGTTGTGAGGAGAAATTAGAAGCTGGTCACTCTTAGGGTTCAAAGGTAGAAGGAAAGGGTCTCTAAACTCACCAATGCAGAGTACAGTGTACAGGCGACGCTCGTGCAGACGATGCCGACTGCTAACGGAACTCCAGCAACTAGGAATACGAAACAGTAAAAGATGAAATAACGATAGCACGAACAAGATTTTACTAGGATATGAAAAGTGCACTTATACACATAGAAACCTGTTTTAGAAAAACTTCGGATGCGCGATTCAGAGACACTCCAAGAAATCCTCATAACATCGTTATTTTAAATCGTTTCATTTTTTTTCGATAACTTTCCATCAACAAATTTCCTGTTTATCTGATTCAATACCCATGCCATTTAATATTAACAGCTCCTTACCCGTATTGATGGCCTGTGAGGGTATGTACACGACCAGACATAAGTAGAGGCTCTATACAGCAGCAAAACAAAAAGTTTCATTTTCACTTTGACCTTAACTTAAATGTCTGCATAGACTGCTTATCAAAGCACATTTTAAGATTTCTGTTTATGGAGGTTTGACTTTTTCTGGTAAAGAACATAAAAGTTTACGTAGCGTTTCAAGTAAAAGAGCTCCAACCGTAAATGATCGCTTTGGGTTTCTGTAAGGTTTGATATCGGTCATATAATTAACGTCTTCAGTCACGTCTTTCCGTATTGCGTGACGGAAATACATTCAAATTCGCTCCCAATTTCATCCGTTGTCAGAGCAGGGATTCAAGAAATAAAGTAAATCTGACATTACTTACATAGGTCACAGTGAAGAGGATTGCCCCCACATACCGGACGCCACCGGAAAACCGCGCCTCTAGGTACTAAAGGAAAAAGAGTAAATGGTTTTGCGAGATTGTTAAATTTAGAATTACCCCTTCCAGATGTGTTGAGCAATAGCAGAACTTGCCTTCCGCATTTTGTTACCAATTCTAACTCTATAGACTTCTAAAAAATTTTTTAAGGGGAAAATTTACTCAGTTCTTAATAAAGAGAAAGGGCGCACTGCACGGACAAAAACAATTCTAATTTATTGTTTAATAGGTGAATGAATAGATAAATAAATTAAACGAGTCTATTAAATAGCAAAAACAAGGGCACGTAACAAAAAAGTTCTTTGATTCCCGCCGTCTCTTTCACTATAATCTTAATTTACCTCAATGTCATCTTTCTAAAATTTAGTTATCAACACTTTTTCTTGTCCTTTCCTTAGTTTTTCTCTCTAAATTTAAGCTACTTTTGACGGCGACTGTATTGACCGTAAGCGATAAAGACTGCATAACATTGCGTGAGGTACCCCACGTATCAATGATTACTGCCCACATGGCGTGGGACGTTAAATTTTTGAATACCTTGCTCTATCTTCAATTTTATGAAAAACCATAATTTCTTGAGGACAAACCGCAAGTAAATCAGAAAAGGTGATTTTATCACCTCTCTAATCATTTTGGGTTTGTTCTTGGATCGAGAGTGAAGCTCGAAGGAAATTAGGGATAAAATAGAAGGCTTTCGAAACTCAAAGTACATCATGTTTACGGAATTCCAACATATTTTTTTTCGAAATCAAGAAACACTAGTTTCGAAAACTACGAATCGTGTATTCTAAAAAATGTAATTCAGACAATACATGAAGTTCGTTTAATCATTCTCGCATAAATTTCGATTCCGTAAATTTGTTATTTCTCCTGATAAGAATGGCATTAATGATTTTAAACATCGAATCTAAAGTCTGGTCACGTTATTTCGTCACTCCATTGTGGTAGCCTTTTACTCAAATTTCTATCGCAAAATGATAGACTTCATAGGGCTCTAAAAAACACGAAAGACTCATAGGTAAAATTTTCGCAAAATAGCAAATTCCTTTTTAATATGTCTACAGACACTTAGAGGATTAAATGAGACGTTTCAGAATAATCGGCTAAAGAGAAAAATTTAAAAACATCTCATTGACATCGGCGGTAACAACAACAAGTTCCTCTATTCATGAAGAAAAATATTTGTGGTATTCGTCTAGTATTGCACATCTGCATTTGCTATCCTTTCTATAATGACTCTATGCACGTGTACACAGTGTGCAAAATATCAGTTGCTCTTTTTTTTTTATTGCACGCTTTCATATTTAAACGTAGGTCATGTCCTCTTGACAGCAAATGATAATTTGATTAAGATGGTTTTTTTCATGGTAAAATTGTGCGACTCGGAACTTAAAGCTCTGATGATAATAAAACACACAAATATAACTGCCGGCGAAAGCAAGAAAGAAAATCACAACAATACCGATTCATGGAAGATTCTATAAACTGAGCGAGCTAGTTACTAATTCCTTTCACTCTTAAAATTTAATTATTTCATGCATATAGTAAGCTGCACGACTTAAGGATGATCTAAGTATCGGTTCTTTTCCCTTAAGGAAATATCTGATCCTGTGTTATCTCATAACATGCATGTTACCTCGCGATGTCTATCGAGACTATACCGAAAAAGGGCCAAGAAGCTTTTCAAACGCCAGACATAACTCGGAATTAATGTTACATAACCACAAACTTACCTCGTTGACTGACGTAACTTGCAATCGGTGAAACATAGGAATGAAGATAATATGAGCAACAGCCGCGACAAACCAGTAAGCGAACAGAGCGAAAATGATGTACTGCAGTCCAAATGAAAACACTTGTGCTGTTGAAGCAAGAAGAAGAACCGACGAAAAATAGCTAGCCACAAGTGACAGCGCCAAAATCCAGCTTCTTAAATTCTTGTCCGCGAAGAGAAATTCTGTTGTGGTCTTCGGCCTTTGTCCTCGGCAGGCAAAGAAGAATCCCACGGCGATTGGGAGCAAAAGGCACAACACGAAAACCACGTAGTCTTCTATGTAGTTCATGACTGATTTAGGTCGCTATAGTACAGGTGATGCAGATGAAAAATAAGTTATCCCTTGTTTGCTGCGACAATATGAAGTACCTTGACCTTGGCGCTGGCATGTACAATCCTATCCAATCCTCGTTAGCTTGAGGTACGAGATGGGAAGAATTTTTCAAAACCCACGCAATGAAAACACTCTCGAGCGCAAAACGTGAAAGATTGTCGATAATTTTGGTAACTTCAAGAACAATCAAATCGAGAATGACCCTTTGCTCTGCGGGAAAACTCCCTTACTTGCACGAATTCGAGAACAATAGATTTCCACAAATTCGATATCTTTCGTTACAATGGTGATGACAGAAGGCCTATTGTATTCGTGATGTGTTGCAACTATTTTCTCACCCTGATTAAGCATGTACCCACTAATAACTAGAACGAGCGACTTGGCCTTTAGCCAGTATTGATTCATCAGACGTTGTTTACGCCCAATCACAGTCAGCGGATATGATGAACATGCTTAATTTGTAATTTGCAATTTTGTCATTTGTAAATCACGCGATATTCAGCACTTTCGACTAGAATGCTTTGCTCGTAACCAGAGTAATCAACGAAATTAGAAACTGGAAGTGCTTATTCTCTAAATTACGTCTGAGCTAGGAACGAAATCGGGACGAAACTGCGTGTTGGTTGTTTCTACATATTTTGATTCTTGAAAGAAAATTTAAAAGAGAATAGAAACTTCTAAAATTAAGCAGTTAAGTTTAAGACAAGCGTAGTTTTTGAATTTGCTGTTTAACTCATTTAAAAAAAAAATTGCTTGCATGAGGGCAAGTCAAAACTCGATCACAACATATAAAACCCATCCACACCTTCAAGAGTTATGATTGTGATAAACTTTTACATTTCTGAAGTCATGTAACGCAACTCTGATTCGGGCGTTTACAGCAGAATTTTGAGGGCCGGAAGTAAATTATATTGAGAAAATAAAAACGTCACGAACTCACGAACTATTTCCTTTGCTTTGTAATTCAAATTTCTGCGGTCTACATTGCTGGCCTAGAAATTAAAAAATATAGCTTCCCAGTAAAGTGCTTTGGATATTAATGATCGTGGATCAGCAATGATCTTTGTTCTAATCATGTATTTTAATTTGTAGAAATCTGCTCTGATCCAGTTCTTACTCCTAATGCGCTTTCCCGCTGCTGACTAATAAAACGACGAGCCCTGATAAGTACACTTTCCGTTACATTAAGAGCTGTGACGTTCATCCATGAGTATCCTTCAAACCTCTTTCTTGTACTAGATACTTCGATTCTTGCTAATTCGGTTTCAAAACTATGCACAACAACGAGCCCTTGATATTGAACGTGACCGAGAAATGTTGATTATTGAAGTAGTAAAGGTGTTGATTTGTTTGTTTTAAACTGTAATGCGATAATCTCTCATTCCAAGAGCGCTTTTTTAAAAGCGGGAAGTAAACAAATCGTTATTATGGGATCTGCGTCACGTTTTTTCCATTGATTACTGCATGTGGTCTAAGTTTTGCGTTGGTCATTCACAATCCAGATTAGTTTTAATCCTCTGTTTCCTTCTATTTTTCATTGAATCTTATTAAAAGTATGCCCTCGCAAACTACCTAAGGCTTTTTTCTTAGAGGCGATAAATTTCAACGACCTTGAAAACAATTCGCATCTGCCGTATGTCTTGAACGACAGCAGTATGGTGAACTAACCGCGCCATTCACCATCAGGCCTGTTCTGTTATAAGGCATTCATGATTTCTGAAGGAAAGTGGAACGAAAGATAAGAGATATCAACGCTTATCGATAAACACAATTGAAATATTAAAAATAAATTAAAAAAACACTTAGTGAAATGATCGGTCTTCGAGGCATGAACACGAAAACGCAAATGCTGATTGCGTAAGACCAAACCCTTCCTCAATTTTTGTGGACTTTGGATCGGCTCCAACTGAAAGAGCATGAGGTTCCTGATGAAGGGCAATAATTACGATAAAAAGTTACAGATTTCGCACTGTTTATTCTGTTGTTGCCCCTAAGATAAAAGACCATCGAAGTCAATTCTCTATTGGGAAAAACATCGTTGAAAATGAGTAAATATCACAAAATTTATATAATTTTATTTATATGACTTGCGTTGCTGTAGCCTATTTCCGTCTCGTTCTGTAATTGTTTTATACATCAAAAATTAACGTATCGAAGTTGTTTATTTAAATTCAATTCATTCTTTATCTAGGAAATGACATGAGAACTTTGGACCTTTTAATTTTTTAATGCAAAAAATTGTGATCTGTGTTAACAGATTACCAAACGCATGACAGTCAAAAACATCTCACACTAATCTGCAATGCTCGCTGAATTTAAAACTTTTTCGTCGGAATTAGCAAGTTTAAATACTAACACAGAGAAATGAAGAAAATAGCCATTTTTCGTCTAAATTAAATGGCCAAACCTCAAGGGTGATATACTTCAATTCTGAGGCGAACACATTAATGTTATGGTTTTTTTAATTTTCTTGTCCCAGTTTACAACACTATCTAAGGTTACTATCGACATAAAGGCCGTCATTCTTTACTCCAACCACTAACAATTTTACAAAGGTAAATGACGGTAATTAGCCCAAAAAACGCTTTAACTTAACTTCAAAAGCAATTATAAAAATATGGAGTTGGAAACGGCAATGAAATTGTAAATGCGGTTGTACAAATTACGTGTCATTACATTTTGCCATTCTCCATCAAATTATTGGTGTACAAGTTTCCCATTTCGAGTTTTTCCTGTTTGCCTTTCGAATCTACCGGCGGAGTGTCATCCCAGTTGACCTTGATCGCCTGCAAAGTAACAAAGACTGCGTCATCTTCGTGTAACTGCTTCCGTTGAAGCTAAGTGTTACCGCTTTCGAGAAAAGCTGCGAAATATTTTTTGGTGAGGTTGACGCCCCGTGATTAGTTCTTTCTAGACTGAAAATTATAGTTAGCGTTTCAGTTCAAAATAAAATCCCGCGTGTTCAAGATCGTTTTTGAATAGAAGACAAGTTATACTGTAATCCTCGATAAAGTAATCAAGACCCGCGAACGTTGGTAAGCAATAACTTGTTTTGTGATTATTTTATCTAGCTCGTAGTCGTTACTCAAAGTAAAATTTATCGCTCGTTTTTTTACCTTTCTTTTGGTTCTTTTAATTGCCACGTGCTCGTTTCCAAAATCGAGATTATTCTTAAGCTATGATCACAGGATATTTACACTCGACTCGCGCGTTGTTTGTACTTTACTTAGTGCAGTTGGGTGATGTTTTTTTTTTTTTATAAATTTTGTAAACTAGAAACGTGTTAGTGTCTTACATCCTCATGAATAGGCACCACTTCATCCTCCTCCTCCTCATCTTCGAAGTCCCATTTGAAAGAATGGCCAGGAAGGAAGGACCACAGCCATTCCTTTAGCGGGAACAGTAGCTTAGGGTCGATCTCTTTCTCCTTATCCTCTTTAGTTTCTTTAATACAATACAGAATCATCATCAGACTAATGGATAAATTTTACGTACCGCTCTACCAGATTGAGCGCACTTCGACTGAGTGTCGTAAAATCAAACCCGAAGTACTCAAATTGGCCAAACAGAAGAAGGGAAATATCGCAAGAAGCCTGAGACAACTTAGAGTAGAGAAACCAAAGCAATGTAGGGTTACTGTATGTCGACTCTCAATCGAGAATCGGGCAACGAATTAAAACGAATCTTTTTTGCGTTGATCGTACCGTAGCAAAGGGAAGACTTAATTGGCCTCTTTGGGGGCCTGTATCGTAACAGAAAGTAGATAATGTGGGGATCCAGCCATCTGAAAATAAACTCACCAAGAATGAGGCTCATTATGCATCCAACGGTGAAGGAAGTGAGTACAGACAGGGCACTAAACCACAGGTAGGACATGCTGTAGAAATCAGCGATGGCCGCACTAAAGAAAACAAACACCAAAAAACCATTAGTCATAAATCTACAGAGAAGATATTACATTGAAAATTAATCATGTATTATGTTTAACGTTTAATTAAAAGAGCCCTTAGGGCAAGATTCCAAGATCGATTAGCGCGACTGTTAGAACAATTTCCCCATCAAGTAATCACTCCTTCTCCTCGAAAATGTTCCTTTGTTTACTAAAATGGAGAATAAGATTATAGAATCTCTTAGCTTTCGAGCACGCCCTTTACCGCGGCAAAGTATGATGCATTTAGCAACGTTAGGCGAGAAGAGGTATGCAATGGTCATTATCATTGATAGAGCCAGACCCCCGTTAAACCTCTCCTCAGCTCATCTCAAATCTTCCCG